TTGCCATATACCTGAATACAAGCCATATCAGGCAATAACTGATAACTGGTAAATGTTACCATATACCTGAATACAAGCCATACCAGGCAATAACTAATAACAGGTAAATGTTGCCATATACCTGAATACAAGCCATATCAGGCAATAACTGATAACTGGTAAATGTTACCATATACCTGAATACAAGCCATACCAGGCAATAACTAATAACAGGTAAATGTTGCCATATACCTGAATACAAGCAGGTGTACAGTCATTTTTAACAGGTAAATTGTATATTGATTAAATTAATTAGTTAGTGAAGTTAGAGGTGTTTATTTTTCAGGAAAACTGTTTCAACAAGATGAAAAGAAAAGTGTGAAAAAGAACAGGAAAAAGTCTCCTGAAAAACGAAGACCCAATTATTTTATAGCAGTTCAAGTATCAAATCCAGAGGTGATTCAAACTGTTCTCTATGTGACATCAGTCCATTCATCAATTACGTTAAGAACATTTTCTAATTACAGAAGTTTACATAACCTATGGACAACGAGATCCATTTGGTCCTTAAAGATAGTCATTATGAACATTTTCTAATTACAGAAGTTTACATAATCTGTGGATAATAAGAGTCTGTTTAGCCCTGAAAGACTGTTGTTATGAATATTTTCTAATTATTGCAGACAAAAAAAAGTCCATTTGGTCATTAAAGATTGTCCTTGCTCACTCACCCCCCTGAGGAAAAGAAAATTTTTAAACCTGTCCTTTATTTTTCAAGGTTTCATTGACTCCTCTTTTAAATTTATATAAGGTACTGGTTTCCACTAATAATGTTGGCAACTCATTCCACAAACTGTTCATCCTGTTATAAAAATCTTAACTAGCACCTAACAATAAATTTATCAACTTTTGTTGATAAATACAAGGGATTGGTGGGGTGGCACGACAAAACATAACGCAAGGATCATGCATTTTGATGAAGAAGCTTGAAAGGTGGGATGATTGAATTTTAATACAGTGACACATCTCAGAAGCCATTTTGTTACGTCAAGTATTTTTCTCCCAGACCACTTGAGAATATGTAATGATTACTATATTTTTTGTGTGAAATGGTTGCCTGAATATATAAAAATATTATCTTGTATTCCAGAAACACTACTTGATCACAGGACATTTATGTCAAATAGTTTACTGAAAGCCGCGTTATGACTGAATATAGATATAGCATAACACAAATACATAATGTTATCACATTTTTAGTCCAGTGGCACAACTCAAATTTGTAGATTAATTGTGCACTTGTTGAACCCCCATGACAATTGGTGTGTTTGGAGAGGTGTGTCAGGTTCATTAACAGTTATATTCAACTAATCAATTAACCATCAGGTTCATTAACAGTTATATTCAACTAATCAATTAACCGAACGTAACTGTTAATGAACCTGATAACTAATTGATTATTCTCACATGATAGGAACACAATCTGTATCATCACACTTTCAGTCCACTATATTGTGACCATTTGTATCAGTAGTCCTGTGCACATTAATCACTTTTAAACTGTTTCTTGTTCAGGAATTAGTTGTCCATGTTAACAAGTAGAACATAGCGGACCCACCACTACACAGAATCAGCAATTCATGATAAACTTCAGTATTTTTCAACCAAATGTATTTTATGTTTTCAAATCATGATAATCTTAAGAACAGTGTATGAAGTTATATGATTATAATCTCCGTGAATGTGGAGTTTAAAAAGCCTACAAGTCTGCTTGAAATTGTCTGTATCATTTTGGATTTTTAAAGAACATTTGTACTAATTTAAAAACATTAAGTAATTAAATATGATGAAAGGAAGTCTTTCAAGGTACAATACGCAATTTGTTTCACCAAAAAAAAGTCAAAGAAATGATGAAGATACGAGGAAAAATGTGTTACCTGTTGTTTTTCAAGCTTCACTGGTCATAAATACTTTCCTAATTAACTGTTGTTCTATCTAGGCTTAATTTGAATGAGCTCGATTCAAAGTTATATAAAAGCACCTTTCCTACATCAAACTGATAATAACATTTATTTTTTAACTTCCCTTCATTCAGTATTACAGCATCTTCAGGTACAGTACAACAATTTAGGACTAAGTTAGTTTCTAATTATAAACTGTTGTACATGAAAATGTATCATATATACAATGTAGTACAAACCTGAACAAGCTGACAATATGTTACTATTCTGTGGGTTCCTATACGTTTACTCTGAATGTTTTTGTTGAAAATAAACAATACTTTGTGACATCAATATTAAATATAATATTCTCAGCTCTTTAAAAATGTTCATAGTCATTAAGATTGAGAAAATTATGGTATTTATTACTAAATAAATTAATTCTTTGTTAAATAAAAAATAACTGTCCATAGATTTCATGTGATGAAATTATTATCAGCATATGATAAAAAAATAAATTCACTCTGATGGTTAGGATGCTTAACACCATTTAAACACACACTGATTGTATAAAGACCACTGTAATAATGTTGTGCAGAAAATACATTGAAGTACATTAGTCACAAAAAAGAAACTGTAACCAAAAATATTAAAAAACAATTGTTTTGTCATTGCTTATTATTGAATAAATGTTGTGTAGAAACAAGAGCCAGATGTTCAATTCATAACAAGTCACTTAAATTGTACAAAAGCATACATGTAATGTTGTAGAGTAGAGCAATGTCTACAAAGTTGTATATATGTATGTTTTACTATCACTCGGATAGCATTTCCTCATGTGACTAAAATAAGAACTTTCTTATGACATGAGAAGCAGATGTGATAATGTATTTAATTACGCTAGAGAGTTATCTACTTATATTCTAATTAAAGAGTTGCTTACGATATACTTATATATAATAGAAAACTATAAAAGTTAAGTTACTGCAGACCCCACAAGAATTATACCGATTGGTTTTCTCGAGGTGATGCACCAATCATCAAGCTGTGAGGACAACCTTTTTAAACTTGAAACATTCATATGTCTGCTTCATCCTACCATTGTTACCAATAAAACCAAAGTTTCAACCTATCACCCCCAATAACCACAATTCCTCACTACTTTAAGTTCAATTACAGGCCTTTGAAATTGTTTTTCATGTACTACAATAATTCCTGTATGCTGAATACAAAAATGATATCCATTTTTCTCCATCACGTATAGATTTTTCACAAAATATCATAACGCAATACATAAAAGAAAGACCACAACACGTAGTTTTGAGACTATAAGACGTAGATTTCACAAAAACATCAGGATGAATAATCGTTTGACATT